ATTTTATTGAAGGCTTTTTCACCATCCATAGAGATTACTGTATGATTGTTTTTCTTAGAATTTTTAATGTGTATATTTTCAGATTGTCTAACTTCCAATTCCCTAATTTCTTCCATTTCCGAAACAAACTGTACCTGATTAAAGTGCATGTCTTATTTTTTAATTTTTATTTAAGTTCTGGGATACATGTGCAGAATATACAGGTTTGTTACATAGGAATTCATGTGCCACGGTGGTTTGCTGCACCTACCAATCTGTCACCTAGGTTTTAAGCCCCGCATGCATTAGCTATTTGTCCTGATGCTCTCCCTCCCCTTGCTCTCCTGCTTTGACAGGCACTGGTGTGTGTTGTTCCCCTCCCTGTGTCTGTGTGTTCTCATTGTTCAACTCCCACTTATGACAACATTCTAGCCTGAAATCATGGTGACGAGGCCAATGAGCAAGCAAGTCATCTGAGTTGAGGATGATGCCAGCCAGAATTTTTATCTTACTGGTCAGAAGTCTATAACGGGTCAGCAGAGCTGTGCTTCTTCAGGATGCTCTAGGGGGGAAAATCCTTTTCCTTGTCTTTTCCAGCACCTAGAGGCTGCCTGCATTCCTTGGCTCATGGCCACCTCACTCTGACCTCTGCTTCCATCATCCATCTCTTCCTTTCTCTCTGACCTTCCTGCCTCCCTTTGACAAAGGCCTTTGTGATTACATGAGGCACACCCAGGTAATCCAGGATAATCTCTCCAACCTCAAGTCCTTCACTTAATCACATCTGCAAAATCCCTTTTGCTATGTAAGGCTGGGGATTAGGACGTGGACATATTTGGGGGGTTATTACTCAGCTGACCACACCATACAACATTTTCTAGGAAAAGCATAGGATGTATTTTTTTATTTAGCTACAGGCAACTTCCCGAAGACACCCAGCAGCAGTCTCAGTTGGCTCCTCCATTTCTTTCCGGGGCTGAGGCCACCTGGTCAGGACTCGTAGCCGAGTGAACACATATGGTATCACCTTGTACCCGCTCTCAGAGCACAGAAAGCACCTGGTACAAAAGATGATTCCTATGACAAACACCATGTATATCTCAACTTACATTTTGCCTGCCGAGGGAATTCCTGTAAGAAAACTCCAAGGGCCCAACCAAATTCCAGCAGAAAAATGTCATGACCTGGAACTTCCAGTAGACTGCTTTGAAGAGGTTGCCCTTAAAGTTAATCAGGTCACAAAAGCTCTGGCCTGGCTTTAGAATTTAGAACTTTTGGCCAGGCGCGGTGGCTCAAGCCTGTAATCCCAGCACTTTGGGAGGCCGAGACGGGCGGATCACGAGGTCAGGAGATCGAGACCACCCGGCTAACACGGTGAAATCCCGTCTCTACTAAAAATTACAAAAAACTAGCCAGGCGAGGTGGCGGGCACCTGTAGTCCCAGCTACCCAGGAGGCTGAGGCAGGAGAACGGCGTGAACCCGGGAGGCGGAGCTTGCAGTGAGCTGAGATTCGGCCACTGCACTCCAGCCTGGGCAACAGAGCAAGACTCCGTCTCAAAAAAAAAAAAAAAAAAAGAATTTAGAACTTTTGAATGACACACACAAGAATAACCAAGTTAGCTGTATGGATGGCTATGAGGGGCACACACAGCCTGTTCACCAACTGAGGAATGGAGAACTCAAAGGGAGGAACGGAGACTCCGCCACGCCTCAGCACTCACAGTGGCAGGGCGGACGAGTTCTAATAAGAAGGGCAGTTTCCTCTGACAGGCCGGAATCTGAAACTAGGCATCAGGTGAGAGCTCCCTGGAGTAGAGTGGGCTAGGGGAAGGGGATGGAGCGTGCTGGTGGTGTGGGTGTGGGTGTGGCAGCCAGGTCTCCAGTGGCTGCAGGATCCTGCCCTCAGCCCAAATGGCTCCTGCTTGAAAAGCTGCGGTGGATCTAAGTGGCAGCTACAGTCCAGGCAACTAGCTTCCTCCGAAGCGAGGCAAGACAAGGCAGGGCTGAGAAGCCACCCAACCTCTGTTCCCAACGAATCCATTTCCACGTCCCTGCTTCGCGGTATGACACCCCATACCCTGATGCACATCTTGTGAAAAATCAAGATGAGAATAAAAGTTCAGGAGAAAACTCTGTGGAGACTGTTGTCAATGTAGTCAAACTGACTCTGAATACAGACATCTTCCACATCCTGCACTTACTCATGCAATTTCATTTACTTTTGGGGAGACAGGACATTTTCACCCCAGCACGAGTCTACTTACCACCCCTTTTTGGCTCAATGCCCTTTTTGGCTGCCTCTGTTCCAGACATGGAAGAGAACTATGAAAAGGGCTGGGGCCACCCCATTCATTCCCAACTAGACTCTGCACAGAGGCAGTAGCTCCTCGCAGCAGCCTTGCAAACATGTGCACCGGCCCCCCACGCCCCTTGTGTACAAGGGACTGTACAATAACCATATAGAAGGCGAGGAAGGGCCCGCAACTTGCCATTTACCAACAAGCTGAGGGTAACCGGCTGAGCCTTCCTATCTGTAGCAAAAAGTAGGCCTTAGAGTTCAGAAGTAGCGGAACTGTTATTTTCACCGAGAAGGAAAGCTTCCTCCAGTCAGCTGCCGATTTTTCTATGGAATGAGAAGGAGCGGGAACCATGAAGGAAGAGCTTGAGAAGTCAATGGGACCGAGACGGAGGGTGAAGTTCAGGGGGAAGAACTCAAAGGGGGAACCACAGCAGCCCTCTCCCCATTCTCAAGGCGGCACGTGAATGTTCTGGAGATGAACAAAGGGCAGGAGGGAGGAGGGGCATGGGAGAGCTCCACGGCAGCTGCTGTGTAGAGGAGCAGAGGGCAGGCCCACGTGGAGGCCACAGCAAGAATTCTAGCCTGAAATCATGGTGACGAGGCCAGTGAGCAAGCAAGTCATCTGAGTAGAACGTAACGGAAAGCTGCTCCATCGCACTAGAAATCAACGAGGGGAAAAGGGCAAAAAGGGATTAGAGAAACAGGTTCAAGCTAATTTTCCTACTAACATTTTATGGGTTTCTGCTATTAGAAATAATTCCTTCACTACCTACGTCAAAGGGTTATAAGGATAAATAAGTTAATAGGCGTAAGTACTTAAAAAAATAAAAAGCATGCACAAATGCAAGGATTTTTTTAATGGAAAATAACGAAAAGCCTTTCAAAGGAATCTAATGTTGCCCTTTGATGGACGGTCTATGGTCTTTCTCCCTTATCAAAAACAATTCCAACAGGAAGCTCTCTGCATAGAACAGAGCCATGAGAATAAGGCCTCATTTACACAGCTGCATGGATTTAGATGCTTTGTTAAAACCGCATCTTCTACGGCTGATAACCTCATAAACTACGGCTCTAAACACTGAGAGTTTTCATTGCCTTCGGGTTAGAAAGTCACTAAGTCAAAAGGGGAATAATAAAAATAGCTTAACTGAAGTACAAAATTCGTGGATGGACTCCAGTTGCAAATTTTCCTCTGTAACTTTCCTCTGAAAGTTATTTCATGGGCACTGGATTGCTGTCTTTTTCATATTTGTCAACTGCTGAGGGAATGAGTTTTCGTGAATCAGAAAATTCTCGTTAGGGCCGGAGATGGTGGCTCACGTCTGTAATCCTAGCACTTTGGGGGGGGTTAGGCGAGCAGATTGCTTGAGCTCAGGAGATCGAGATCAGCCTGGGCGACACGGTGAAACCGTCCCTACTAAAATAAAAAGGAATTAGCCGGGAGGGCAGTGTGCGCTGGTAGTCCCAGCTACTCCGCAGGCTGAGGCAGGAGCATTGCTTGAACCTGGGAGGCGGAGGTTGCAGTGAGCCGAGATCACGCGGCTGCACTCCAGCCTGGGCGACAGAGCGAGACTCCATCTCGGAAGAGTCAGTACAAATAACTACTGCTTAGCAAAACTTACTGCTTGTTTTCACTGCTGAAGAGTAGTTACTGCAGGGAGTCTAGTGTGGCCCTAACTTGCTGGATGGGGACTCATGTGGTGGGCGGAGGTGCTGGAGGCTGGATGTCTACAGTGCAGAGTTTAGGAACAAGGTGCGGGAGCAAGGTCAGAGCGAGCCCCTGCGGTGCCCGGTGCCCTCTCACGCTCAGGCAGCAGGCAGTCAAGGTCCCCTCTGGGCATCCTCCCTCCCTGGTAAGTGGTTTGGGAGGCAGCCCTGCTCCCCGGGGAAAATTCATGTACAGGTGACTTGAATGCAGTTGTTTACAGTTCCTGGGTTTAACTCTGTCAAGTACTGCATTCATATCCCATAGTCGGAACAGAAGTGTTCAACTCTGTCAAGGTTACTTAAGAATGAGAAGAATAAGCGGTATCTGACATTCCAAGTGAGGTTCAAGTTTGTCTTCAAGAAGCTCCTAGAAGTTTCTGACAGGATTTTACATGGCTAGCAGCCACACCTTCTTCTCCCACCCCTGGGCTGGTCCTTATTTGCTCTGTGACTCCTCCTCCACTCAACCCATAAAAGCCAGAGTGTCCCCACACCACGTTCCTGGGGTGTGATGAGAGATACTGGTTTTCCTGCCCGTTCCTGGCTCCTCACGGCCCTGGTTAGTCTTGTTAGAATGCCAGGTGTGTGAGCCTCAGGGGTGCTAGGACCCCACCTTCTCCTGCCCTCCTTCCACTCCATTGCTCCCCTCTCAGTCTTGCTGACGGTGGGTCTTAAGACCCTCCAGGAGAGGGTCCCCCCCTAGACCCAGGGGGAAGGAATGCTGATGTCATGAAGCTCCCATAAAAACCCAAGAGGGCGGGGAGCTTCCTTGCCCCTTCCCCATACCTCGCCCTACGTGTCTCTTCATCTGTATCCTTTGCAGCGTCCTGTATAATAAACCGATAAACATAAGGGTTTCCCTGAGCTCTGTGAGTTGCTCCAGCAAATTAATCAAATCCAAACAGAAGGCCAAGGAAATCCCACCTTGAAGCTGGTGGGTCAGAAGTTCCAGAGCCGGGACTTGCTGCTGAGCCCTCAACCTGTGGGCTCTGACACTATCTCCAGGTAGGTAGTGTCAGAACAGAATGCGGGGACACCTAGCTGGTGCCCGCTGCTTGGTGTGTGGGAAAGTCTTCTTCTGTGTTGACTGTTGGCGGTGAGAGCAGAGGAAACATGAAGTTGGAGAGCTTCTCCCTACACAGTCCCCAAGCGCTATGACCTGCTCTCATGGCTTCAGAAGTCATTGGCACACCGCTGGTTCTCAATCTACATTTCTGGTCTCTGAACCCAGACCCATTCTTCACCTTTCAACCTAGGACTTCTTCATTTGAACATCTCAAACTTAACATACCCCAATCAGAAGTAATCACCCCCTCCCAGACCTGTTTCTCTGCCTCTTCCCTCAACAAATGGCACCACCGCACCATTGTCCCAGCGCACAAGCTAGAAACCTAGGTATCACCCTCACTTCTTTTTCCCCTAGGTCCATGCACGATTAGTCACCAAGACCTGTGGATTCTCCCGCTTGCCCTTTCTTCTGTCCCCTTCTCCGTACCCAAGCTGCACTCAGTTCTGCCACTTCCCTGCCTCTAGTCTTGGGTGTAGGGTGTACTCCTGTCTCCAGCATCCTCTCTGCTAAAGGCTGGGGCCATCACTTGAAGGCACAGATCTGATCATGCAACTCTCCTCCAGTGGCTTCCATCTATCCTCAGGATGGTGCCCAAATGCCTCTGCATGATCTACAAGGTCACTACAAAGCTACCTGTCCACCACTCAACTCTCTCTGCCCACTGCCCCTTTACACTCCATCCTATTGCTCTCTCCAAACTCCCCTACCCGCTCTCCTCTTCCGCCCACTATTTTCTCCTGCTCTTCGCACATGCTGGTACCTTGAATACTCTCCCTCCATCCCCCATCTCCTGAGGGTCAAGGTCTGGCCCACTACTTGCATGACCCTTTCTCTGGGCAACCTGACTGCACTGATTGCCCAAGCCTAGGCTGGCTGACTTCTCTCAAATCCCTTGCTGCTTTTTTACTAAGTTCCGCCTGTGAGGCTCAGGTACTGTGCCTGTTGGCTTGCTGCACCTTCAAGTGCTAAGCAGGTGCTGTGTTTCACCCACAGCCATATCCCTCCTCAGCACAGGCCTGGCGCAAAGCAGACACTCAAAAATATTTATTAGAAAAGTGAATAATCCTGCATAAATGCTACTGATGAATCTAGCTCCCTGCAAGTCAATGCATTTCACAGATCCAATAATTCTCTTGATAACAGAACAATTAAGATGGTTAGAAAGGCTGGGCGCAGTGGCTCATGCCTGGAATCCCAGCACTTTGGGATGTGGAGGCGGACGTATTACCTGAGATAAGGAGTTCAAGACCAGCCTGGTCAACATGGTGAAACACCATCTCTACTAAAAATACAAAAATTAGCTGGGTGTGGTGGTGGGTGCTCGTATTCCCAGCTACCCGGGAGGCTGAGGCAGGAGAATCACCTGAACCCGGGAGGTGGAGGTTGCAGTGAGCCGAGATCATGCCACTGCACTCCAGGCTGAGTGACAAGAGCGAAACTCCATCTCAAAAAAACAAAAAGATGGTTGGAAAGACCTGGATTAAAACATACACACACACCCCCCAGTGGTGTTTCAGTACTGACAGCACATTTCTTCAAGAGCTAAAATACTTGGTTTTATAAATATCACCTAAGTATTATAATCATCTGAATCCTACCCGGAAATGATATGAAGTTTAACTTCAACAGCACTCAAAGATTTGCCCAGTAACCTTACGCCAGGACTGTTTGCCCAAAGATACTTCTTGCTTGCCCACAACTGACTTGGGTGTCATAATTAGGTAAGTTATGAAATGGCAGATTATGAAATGGTTTCGTTTTACTTGGTGGCGGGGACACAGATAAAGAAATTCTATTTACACCTTCTCAAGCTAAGCTACTTCTTACATGAATTAGCTACTATTTTTTGGCATCACAGTATATTTTTAAATGAAAAACAGCATCTCAGTTCAAGTATGTAGGTCTGAGGCTACAGTGTACTTTTCCTTCAGGTTTTAACAACTCGATAGAATTTATAGATGGTCTTTTTCCCTTCATTCATCACAGTAACTGAAAAGCTACTGTCTAAAATTCAATTACCAACTAGTCTACCTGCATGCTACATCTTTTTCCCACTGCACTTCAATAAAGCTGTCATTGCAAACAAAAACATAAAAGCGTATGGGACAGATCGTCTGCTCTGCTGTTTAATTTCACAGAAATTCTTTTTTTTTTTCTTTGAGACGGAGTCTTGCTCTGTTGCCCAGGCTGGAGTGCAGTGGCCGGATCTCGGCTCACTGCAACCTCTGCCTCCTGGGTTCAAGCGATTCTATTGCCTCAGCCTCCCGAGTAGCTGGGATTAGAGGTGCCCGCCACCACGCCCGGCTAATTTTTGTATTTTTGGTAGAGACGGGGTTTCACCATGTTGGTCAGAATGGTCTCAAATCCCGACCTCAGGTGATCCGCCTGCCTCGGCCTCCCGAAGTGTTGGGATTACAGGCGTGAGCCACGGCGCCCGGCCCCACAGAAATTCTCTAGCTTTTAAAAGCCATGGAAGCATTCTAGGTAAGTTGTTAACCACTAACGGGAACAAATTCTCCTTGTACAAGCTCAGGCACATTCAAGGGGAGCGAGGCCTGACATGCATCACGGGAAGACACAGCTCTGATCTGGCAACTCTACCTTTCTACAAGCGTCCGAGCTCCGGGGTGCCCGAGTACCGACAGCCAAAGAACCACAGCATTTACACTTTGCCAGATAAGGAATCGGCTCTGTGAAGGTGCGAAGAACCAAATGCTAGCGATTAATGTTCCAACAACGTGAAAACTTCCTGCAACTGGAAATCCTCAATGGAAACTCTTGTCGAATCCTTCTCGAAACCAAATTAACGATGACTTGTTTCTACAAAGGCTACTAATTTCAGGAAAGTAACGTATAACTCGTCGCCTTAAAGCGCCTCTAAAAGCATCCACGACGGTTAAAGTCGCTGCTACTATGAGACGCTATTTATTCAGCGCCAAGACCCAAGCGCCATCGCGGATCACCCCATTCCTGGCCACGGCGACCCTAGGGAGCGGGTCCTAGGAGCCTGCTGGAGGGCGACCGCTGAGCCAGCTGAGCCAGCTGCCTCTCTGCTGACTGAGGGGAGGCCAGGCTGCCTGCAAGGGCGGGGAAGGGGCCCTTTCCGCGCTTACCAGGGTGAGGGCCACCTCCAGCATGGGGGCGAGGGCCAGGGTGCCGTGGAAGAGGGGGATGCAGTCCACGAAGAGGGTGTGGTGGGCGCCCGGGCCGCCCAGGGGGAGGTGCTCCTTACGCGGCTTCTGCTTCTCGGCCACCAGGAGCCCGTTGACGGCGCAGTGCGGGTACTTGGCGCCGTGCAGCACCATCTTGCAGTAGGCCTGGGTGGTCAGCTTCACCCCGGGCATGCTGACCCGGGAGGGCCCCGAGGCCCCTGGGCGCGCGACTGAGGCCTAGACCCGCTGCCCGGCCGCGCGGCGCCTCAGCCGAGAAGCGGGACGAGTCGGCGGTGATTGATGGCACGGCCGCGAGCTGGTGGGGGGCCCCTCAGGCCCGGCCCCGTTTCTTGCCTCGGCTCCTCGAAAAGCGACTCGTGCCTCTGGGAAGCCGCAGCCCCAGACCCCACTCGCGCTTCTCGCCCGGCGCCGCCGGAAAGCGGCCTCTCCAACGCCTGCCGGAAAGCAGCCCGGCCCGGCATTTTACGACGTTCTCAGCGCTACCCTTTTCCGCTCCACGGTGACCTCTGCGCGGCCGGGTGCAGGCGGAGTCTTCCTCGATCCCGTGGTGCTCCGCGGCGCGGCCTTGCTCTCTTCCGGTCGCAGGACACCGGGCGTAGAGGGCGGTCGCGGCGGGCAGTGGCGGCAGGTGAGGCAGGAGGTGGCCGGTGCGGGGCCGCAAGGCCGGGCCGTGTCGGGGGGCCGGGAGCCGTCGAGTCTGCACGCCCGCATCGTGGCCGCCCGGCTTCCGCAGGAAGCACTGAATGGGCCTCGGAGCTAGGTGACATTGAGGCCGGCCCGCGGGGACTCCGGCCTCCGTGGCTCCAGGCTCGGAGGGCCGTCCCGAAGCGCCCGATCCGTCTTCGCCAGTCGCGCGGCGGCTGTGGGCCGGCCTCGGGCACTGACCTTGGGAGCGCCCGCTGGCCGAGGGCGCAGGCTGTGGGGAGGCGGGCCCGCGCTCTGTACCTGCATCCTCCGCCCTTGCTCCTTCAAAGGTCCCTGCAACCCCTCCCGGGTTTTGCGGGGCTCCCGGGCGGCGCTCGGCTTCCTAGCCTGGAGGGCACCCGTTGTTTCCAGTTGTTTGCTCACGCATAGGCTAGGCCCAAGGAGAGAAATTAGACGCGGGCGTTCAGCCCTGACGTCATGCTTGTTTATTCTGCCCCGAGGAGGGTATTTTCCCACATCACCCTCACCATTCCTCCGAAGGGTCGATTTAAAGGGGGCGGTGTAGGGTAGATGGACCTGAATCGAGGAGGACCGGGGTGAGGCGGGGGTCTACCAGGTTTTCCGCTCTCCTCAGGGATTGGAAATTGACCGGGGCTGTGTTGGCAGCCTTCTCCAATTTCCCCTTCTAGTCTGTGTAGATGTGGTATTAGGTTTTAAGCAAATACTCAGTTGAATGTGATGCGTGCCACCATCCCTGTGAGCTGTTACCTCCCCCCACCGCCCCCTGAAGAATGGAGCCTGTAACGGCAGCACAGTGCTTTAATGATCTCTAACTTTCTCACTGTCGCCTTGTTAACGTTTTTTCTTCTTGCCTTTTTTTGTTTGTTTGAGACGAAGTCTTGCTCTCGTTGCCCAGGCTGGGATGCAGTGGCGCGATCTCGGCTCACTGTAATCTCTACCTCCCGGGTTCAAGCGATTCTCCTACCTCAGCCTCCCAAGTAGCTGGCTTTACAGGCGTCCCCTACCATGCCTGGCTAATTTTTGTATTTTTAGTAGAGACGGGATTTCACCATGTTGGCCAGGCCGGTCTCGGACCCCTGACCTCAGGTGATCCGTCCGCCTCGGCCTCCCAAAGTGCTGGGATTACCAGCGTGAGCCACTGCGCCTGGCCTTTCCTTGTTTTTTTAAAAAGACCAATGTTCTGTTAATTACCTGAAGCTTGTATACATTATGGCAGTTGATTTATAATGAAGCTCCTTAAAAGCATGCCAATTACTAAGAAAAACGTCATCCTAGGTTATTTTGTGAATTCAAAGACAGTAATAAAGAATGGATCATTTGCGTTGGGGAGAAGCAACTAAAAGAATTTAATTCCAGAATGCTCTGGGGCAAAAAGAAGACTCATTCCTTGCTGTTTGCCCTTATTCATAGAGAAGGTGTACATTTTTATCTTTCAGAATGTTGGCTACCAGGGTATTTAGCCTAGTTGGCAAGCGAGCGATTTCCACCTCTGTGTGTGTACGAGCACATGGTAAGTGTGACTTTTCTTACTTTTGAATAGGCTGAGCTAATTTCATTTTGCTCCTGCTGTGTATAAGGCCTTGTGCTGGAGTTTTAAAGACCTTAGTTTGGCTCTTGAGGGTCTTTAGGGGAGATACAGATATTCTCACAGGGCCCGGTTCTAGATTAAGAAGTGTTTAGGAATCAAATTGAATCTTTTCTGGATCTTTGGTGATACCGATATTTCCCCCCTTACCCTTCCCTTCCTTTCCACTTTTTTAAGCTTCAAGATCTACCCCTTTCAAAAGATCTTCTGCACCAAAACTAACCTTAATGACCTCCCTCCCCACCTTGCCCCCACAACTCCCAACCATTTGCATCACGTCTGTTTACATTATAGAGACAATGGAAACGAAGGAGCCTGGACTTCGTAGCCTGAGCTGGGTTTTCATCTCATTTCTGTCAAGGACTAGCTACTGAAGCTTAGGAATCTCTTTGCTCACCTGAAGTGTATGGCCAGAGCTTAGTTCTGTGTCTGGCATACAGCACATTTAGTTTTGCATGTATCTGGCATCTATCTACTTTATACCAGACACTGTTAGGCACCGAGAAGAAAAAGAAGGTGAAATACACACTCTTTCCAGGAGGCTGTTTGCAATCTGAAGAGGGACAGATGGATGAAGACAGTGTTTTATTAAGAGATGGCTCCTGGGTAGAAACATTTAGCCCGATGTAGGGTTCAGGGAAGGCTTTGGAAGAAACTCTCCATGTAGACTCTGTAGAGTCTGCACCCTGCCTGGTTAGAGCTGGTCTTGCCTGCCTTTCTGATCTCATTACTGACTATTGTGCTCAAAAACCAAAAACCACCATCAGAACCACCCCTCCCCACTTGCTCACTGCCCCAGCCTCCTGGCCTTACTCCATTCCTCCCGTAGAGCCCTGAGTTGTGGATGGTCACTTCTGTCTAATCATTCACCCTCAATACAAATGTGCTTTTAGAACGGCCTCTCCTGACCACCCTTTGTCAGGAAGCTCCCTGTCACTTCACCTTGCTGTGCTTTTCCTTATAACACTGGATGCCTCATGAATGCATGTCTATTTGAGTATCGCTGTCTCAGCCTGTTAGAGTGTAAGCCTTTTGAGGCCGGGGACCCTGCCTATCTTACTTGTTCCCGTATCTCCAGCACACAGGAGGCAGATGAAGATGAACTGCAGGCTCTTAGACAAGTCTTGTCTGTTAACTTTTAACTTATGTAAGTCACACATGAATAATACATGAAACTGTTCTCAACCTAAGATATTAAAGCAGTCTGGAATACCATCAGCTGTCACTGAAGTCAGTTGGGATATTTGCGTGGTGATGCACCTGAGTGAGGGGCGCCCAGATATACCACATCTCCCCAGGAGAGGCTCAGCAGAAATCCGTCCATGTTGAAGCAGTGACAAACATTCATTAGAATCTGGAGTCTGTTTTTCTCTCTCTTTAGAAGAAATGTTTGGTATATTAACCATTGCTTTTCCCTTAATTGCTGGGGGACCAGGCCTGAAGCTCTGAAGAACCCCTGAAACCATGAATTGGTCATTATTCTGGAAGATGCAATTTTAAGGTTTGCCTGCACCAAGGTTTTGAAGGTTTACATCCTTATAATAGCTTTCCTACCCCCCAGTCTCCCTGTCATGGTATTTACAACAGCTTTACAAGATGTAATTCATATAACAGTCACCCATTTAAAGTGTATGCGCCGGTGGTTTTTAGTATATTCATATAATGAGTTTTGTCATTAGCACCACAGTCGATTCTAGAACATTCTCCTCACCCATATTTACATTTATTTTTAATAACTCTCGTGTAAGCTGTTTTAAACTTTAGAAACCTCTGGGGGGTGCTGAACTTGATAAAAATATTCAGTATACAACTGTTCTTTATAGTTCACTCATCATTTTCATAGAATTAGGGTTTTAAAATTAGAAAGTAATTCAGGCCATTTCCACCTCATATCCCTCAAATCCCACCTCAGTTTTGGGATGAGGTGTCAAGTATAAGTTTGTAAGTACGCTAGTCATTTGCATGGCTAAGATAAACGTGTAGAGAACTCTATATATGACTTTGCTTAAAGCTGAATGTTGATTTACTGTTCACATGATTTGGGAGATTTTAGTCCCTGGGACTGAGCTAATGGAGTTGAAGCATTGTTGTGGGCATTGTACCTCCAGACTAGTGTGTAACACAAAGAGTTCTTGCAGATGTAGGACAGAATTGGAGAAACAGCTTCTAACAGTGGGATGACTCTCAGTACAACCAAGCTATTCCTTACCTTTCTGATTTCTAAACTTTTTCCCTCATGATACCTGTTGCTTTGAAGGCACTAAAATAACAGAAGCAGATAGAGCAGAAATCCTCACTCAGATCTTCCTGCCTCCTACGTGTAATAGTTTGTGGCTTGCCTTGTTAGTTTTGTGTGTTTCACTGCGTGTATGTGAGTATGTGCACATGATTTCCAGAGAGGAGAAGCGCACGATACTGCCTGTGCTCTGACTCCTGAGTGCACGCTCCCTCTGCATTCGGGCTCCTAGGTTGGCCTCATCCTGTGGACGTTGCCCCTTGTTTCCTGCCATCCACACATTCCTGATGACCTCCTGCTCTACTCTTTCTCCAGAGTACTTTTTCCAAACATGTGATTTGCACATTTGTTATGTTTATTGTTTGTTCTCCACTTTTAGAACTGTAAGTGCCAGTAGGCAGGAATGATTGATTTGTTCACTGATGATTCACATCTCTAGAACCCTGCCTTGCCTGTAGAGGGTGCTTGGTAAATATGTTTTGAATGAATGGCTGCATGATCCTCATTCCTAAGAGCTAGCACGATTTCTCACTCAGTCCTGGTTGGACACAGGTTCCCTGGAACGGTGCTGTCGTGGTTATCTTTTCACGTGTCTTTGTTTCTGAACTTGAAATGCTTTCAATGTTTTATTGTTTTTGTTCTTCCTCATTAGTTTGAGTCCCTTGCAGATAGGCTTTCATTTTGTCCAGTCTTCTGTTCAGGGAGCCCTGAGGGCCTTGGCCCACGTCTGCAGGTAGCTGTTTTTTATTTTTATTATTTTTTTTTATTTTTTATTTTGAAATGAAGTCTCGCTCTGTTGCCAGGCTGGAGTGCAGCGGTGCGATCTCAGCTCACTGCAACCTCTGCCTCCCGGGTTCAAGTGATTCTTCTGCCTCAGCCTCCCGAGTAGCTGGGACTACACTGCAACCTCTGCCTCCCGGGTTCAAGTGATTCTTCTGCCTCAGCCTTCCGAGTAGCTGGGACTATAGGTGTGTGCCACCATGCCCGGCTAATTTTTTGTATTTTTAGTAGAGACAGGGTTTCACCATATTAGCCAGGATGGTCTTGATCTCCTGACCTCATGATCCGCCAGCCTCGGCCTCCCAAAGTGCTAGGATTACAGGCATGAGCCACCGCGCCTGGCCCTGTAGGTAACTGTTAATGTAGGAAGTGCTGCCTCTGGGCACCTTAGCCGCAGGATTCATTAGCAGTTGGCCCGGTGGGTTTTTGTTGGCTGTGATGAAAAGTGCTTCTGTTCTGCCTCCACCACACTCCTGCAGCTGTTTAAACAGTGGCTGTGACCCCCTGAGATGACCCAGGGTTTCAAGGTGTGCACACGTGTGTGTGTTTCGGTTTTTAGAAGTATCACCTTGTGCGTGACTCTCAACCTACATGGATTTTCAAAGATGTATTCAATGTGTTTTTCAGAAAGTGTTGTGAAGAGCGAAGACTTTACGCTCCCAGCTTATGTGGATCGGCGTGACTATCCCTTGCCGGACGTGGCCCATGTCAAGCACCTGTCTGCCAGCCAGAAGGCCTTGAAGGAGAAGGAGAAGGCGTCCTGGAGCAGCCTCTCCATGGATGAGAAAGTCGAGTGTGGGTATTGAGGGAACTCAGGCACGCCCAGCAGCTCTGGGAAGTGTGTGTGTGAGAGCCTCTGCTCACTTCTGGGCCTACTGTCTAGAGAACAGTCTTGCACGGGAGGGCTGCTCTGCTCGGTTTCGGGGTCACTGTCCCAGGGCCCCAGTTTTTGTGCTCTGCCAGCTGATGGGATCTTTTGCTAGGCCCCCTTCTCTGTGCTGAGTGGAGGTAGCCTCTCAGCATATCTGCTGGGTAAGACATTGTTTACTGTAAATTATTGAAAGAAACTCAGCAAAATGCATACTGTTTGGTATGAAAGGGGCATTAAAATAATGAGATTAAATAGACCCTAACACTGTAATTCAAGTAAGAAACAACTTTGCAGTTTTAATTTCCACCTAAAGCAAACTCCATGTATTTTCTTCCTTCCTTTCCCCGTCACATGCCTGCCTGGGCACGTGTGCGCACGTATGTGCATGCCCGTGATGTGGCCCGGGTTGGTGTATCCTTCAGCTCTGTGTTTCCTGCCTCACAAGTGTGGTTTTGGGGAGAAGTGGTTGAACATTGCAGAGGAGGGAGCTGCTGACCTTTGTGCCTGTAAACGGCTGTCCTCTCTGCCCCTAGTGTATCGCATTAAGTTCAAGGAGAGCTTTGCTGAGATGAACAGGCGCTCGAATGAGTGGAAGACGGTTGTGGGCACTGCCATGTTCTTTATCGGCATCACCGCGCTCGTTATCATGTGGGAGAAGCTCTATGGTGAGTAGAGAGGGAGGAAGGCATGGGCGCCTGGACTGGGGCTCCAGCCTGCGGTGCCCAGTGGTGGGCTGTGGGGGACCTCCACACCTTGAGGCCATGAGATAGGGACTCCATTCCAGAGTGCATCTCAGGATTGTTCTCCGGGCCTTGGTGACCTGGAGAACTGAAGTGGGAGGTTAGTTTATAAGCCAGCATCTGATTATTCAGAGTTGACTATGCGTGTTGGGTGGTGAAATACCTTGACTACTTTGGACAGCGCACCATGTTTTCAGTAGCGGTTTATGTGCTCACCAGTCACTTAGCAAAAGATGACCTCGTGAAGGTTCGAGCACGGAGAAGGGGACTCCTTTAATGACTGTCTCGACTGCTGTGAGGACTGCATCTCAGCAGCCGGCATCTGGGGGTCCCGACCTGACCGTTGGGGTGTGGGCATTGCTGAGTTGCTTGCTCGTGGTAGCGACTCTTCCCCGAGGTTCTTTCTGTCCAGGCAGAACAGGCATTTTTGCATTCTGAATAGGTATATTCTCGTACTTTTGGTTTGAATGTGGATGTGGGTTAATAACAGACCCAAATCGATTTGATCTTCCAGGTCACCTCGGGCTCTGTTTGTTAGATCTTGTTATCCATCGCCTTTAGAGAGGACCTTCTGCTTTTAGCTTGTTTTGTTGCTACCTTTTTACAAACAAAGTGATAATTTTAAAATGTCAATGGTTGCCAGTTGTCAGAAACCGTGTGTTTGAGCGGGTGTTGAGTGGTAGGTGGCTCTGCTGATCTAGTGGCTGGTATGTTGGGAGGATTTAACCTTGTAAGGGTTTGGCGTAGAAACAACCTGTTGACACCTTGTCCATAACCTGTCTCCCACCGTAGTGTATGGCCCCCTCCCGCAAACCTTTGACAAAGAGTGGGTGGCCATGCAGACCAAGAGGATGCTGGACATGAAGGTGAACCCCATCCAGGGCTTAGCCTCCAAGTGGGACTACGAAAAGAACGAGTGGAAGAAGTGAGTGAAGCTGGCCTGTGCCTGCCTCTATCACCTCCATGCAACTCCATGCCTATTTACTGGAAACCTGTTATGCCAAACAGTACTACTGCTAATAAAATGACCAGTTTACCTGAAACCCTTTGTGATCAGTTCTTTAATGATACCTAAATGAAAGCTAATTAAAACAATAGGTTTCTCCCAAGGGTCTGGAGTTAATATATTTTGGGTGCAAATGAAATGGCAAAAATCTAGTATCTTAAATTGTGTAAGGGGACATTATATAAAGACTGAAAATATAGAATCCCTTGATGTAGGAAATTTGAGGTTTTTGGCAAGAGATCGTTATGTAAGTAAAATCTCATACTCCTGTAGGCACACCGGCAGGAGTTACCACAACCCTTTTTTTTTTTTTTTTTGGGAGACAGGGTCTTGCTCTTGTCGCCCAGGTTGGAGTGCAACAGCGCGATCTTGGCTCACTGCAACCTCCACTTCCCCGGTTTAAGTGATTCTCCTGCCTCAGCCTCCCGAGTAGCTGGGATTACAGGTGCCCACCACCATGACTGGCTAATTTTAGTATTTTTTAGTAGAGATGGGGTATCACCATGTTGGCCAGGCTGGTCTTGAATGCCTGACCTCAGATGATCTGCCCGCCTTGGTCTCCCAAAGTGCTGGGATTACAGGTGTGAGCCACCGCGCCCGGCCTATGAACTACTTTTCTTCTGGGGCTGTACCTCCCTCCCTGCAGTTGTCACGTTGGCTAGGGTGAGGGCCACTAGCTCAGGGAGGACAGCCCCACTCTGAGCTCTGACTGAGGTGTGGGTGCTGGCCCCGTCTCCCTTGGACTGCTTGTGGCCTGCTGAGCTCCCTGGCTACTCACAGCTCTTTGATCTAAAAAGTAGTCACAAGGCCAATGTCAAAGCGGTGGTCTTACGACAGCTGGCCCCTGGCAAGCTGTCTCCAGGACTTATCCTGTTACCTGTCCCACCCAAGACCAGTTCCCAAACTGCAGACCCTGTCTGGAGAAGAGAACAAATCTTTGAATGCAGCCTCTGTGCTGAGAGTAGCAGAGATGGCTGGCAGAGAGGGGTCTCCTGCCAGCACTGGTGGGTAGGAATGAGGCAAGGGGAGAGAATGGGCCCAGAGAAGCACAGCTGTAGCCAGGAAGGGAAAGAGGCCCCTTAGAGCTTGCCCAGAGGAAGTGCATGGGATAAGGACCTTGGCTGGCTGGAAGGTTTGGGCTAAGTTCAAAATCAAGAGCAGGTCAAATACACCCCAATCGAGTGTCTTCCAGTGCTGTAGAAACGCCCTTGATCCCTTGTTATCCAAGGACCAGCTGAGCCCTCTGGGAGAGTGGGATGTGGGGGGCTACAGGGCCTTCTGGAGTCTTGCCATGAGAACTAGTGTGGACCCCTTGATGGCTTAACTACAAAAGCCCACACTGCCCTGTGGGGGATGCCATTTTCACTTCCTTGTCCAAGGGTGGGCTCCTGGGGGTGGTGGGGGAAGCTGAAGTGGTTGACCCCGGCCCCACTGGTCCCTGATCCTGGTCCCTGCCTGGCTCTGTTGGAGCCACCTGCCCAGGGCCAGGCAGCAGGTCAGGCTCATCACCACCCGCATCTCCCTCAGGAGAGGCCGGGAGGAAGGAGCTGTCACCCCAGATGGAGGCAGAGATGTCTGCCTGTGGAATCGAGCCTGCTGTACAAGCCCTCTGCTTTTAACCTGGAGTAGCTCTGAGTGAGTCCTCTTGAGAATAGTCAGGCTCTTCCTGGCCTTTCCCTCCTACTGCTTAGGAAGCTGTGCTCTCGACCTTGCTAAGAGAATTGCCGTTTGTCCATCAGATTCAGATTCCAAAACATGGCTGTCCAACCTGATTTTGTCCTCACGCTCAAAAAAAATGAAAATCTCTTTACTGTCATTTTAGTGGGAATTTGGGAGGCCGCAGGGGTTCATGGCTGGATTCAGCCCACGATCCTTCGTTGGTCACCCACGGGCCATGGGGACGTGATGCTGACCTGACTCCAGGTGCTCACTTTCCCAGGCTCACAGGAGACAGCAAGCAAAACAAATACACAGAGAAGGAGAGGATCCAGCAGGGTGGAGGGAGGGGGCACAGGGAGAAAAGGTTATGGGTGGGGGTTGGTTGGGCAGCTGTCACTGAAGAGGTGACATTTCGGCTGAGACTTGAAGATGAGATGAGCCACTACTCATGCTGAAGCCTGAGGGGAGGTCGGACTGGCAGGTGGACACAGCACCAAGCATGCACGGAGGCACGACGCTGAAGGCAGAATGGGGCTTGGTGTGTTCAAAGGACAGCAAGACGGCCGCCAGGCAGAAGCACTGTGGGAGGAGGCAGGGTGGGGGCGCGGCAGGGGTCCTCAGATGCCAGGGCACGTGGGCCGCAGCCCGCAGGAAGAGGAGGACGGAGCTCTTTCTGAGTGTGTGTGGTCTCATTTCACCCCTAGACTGTCCCTCCCAGGGTGCTCAGGGAAAATATTGAGGCATGAAATTGGAACAGGAGGACTTTGAGCAAGGTGAGCCCTTGGAATAATCCGGCTTAGCTCACTGGAGGCCAGAGGGGGCCCTGTCTCCCCAGGCCCGGGCCTCAAGGGAAGATGCCTCAGAGATGAGGCTCCTGACCCATCCAGGGCCTGCATCTCCATGTGGGGCCATCACAGAGACCTTGCCCTTCAGCCTAGCCTTGAAACTCCTCGAAATTTAAGATACTCCATCCCTCTGTGTTACTCTTCTTCCTTCTGTGCTCATCTTCCTCCCAGCTGGCAGTTTTCTACTCTCCAGAATTTAAAAATTCCCGGACAGGCATAGTGGCTTGAGCCTGCAATCTCAGCTACTTGTGAGGCTTAGGTGGGAGGATTGCTTGAGGCCAGCAGTTTTTTGGTTTTTTTTGAGACGGAGTCTCACTCTGTTGCCCAGTTTGGAGTGCAGTGGTGTGATCTCAGCTCACTGCAGCCTCTGCCTCCTGGGTTCAAGCAGTTCTTCTGGTTCAGCCTCCCGAGTAGCTGGGATTACAGGCGCACACCACCACACCTGGCTAATTTTTGTATTTTTAGTAGAGGTGGGGTTTTGCCATGTTGGCCAGGCTGGTCTCGAACTCCTGACCTAAGGTGATCCACCTGCCTCGGCCTCCCAAAGTGCTGGGATTACAGGCGTGAGCCACCATGCCCAGCTGAGAGCTGCAGTTTTGAGACCAGCCTGGGCAACATAGCAAGAACCTGTCTCTTACAAAAAAAAGAAAAAGCCAGGCGTGGTGGCTCACGCCTGTAAGCCCAGCACTTTGGGAGGCCAAGGTGGGCGGATCACGAGGTCAGGAGATCGAGACCATCCTGGCTAACACGGTGAAACTCTGTCTGTACTAAAAAGTACAAAAAAAATTAGCTGGGCATGGTGGTGGGCGCCTGTAGTTCCAGCTACTCAGGAGGCTGAGGCAGGAGAATGGCATGAACCCGGGAGGCGCAGCTTGCAGTGAGCCAAGATCGTGCCACTGCACTCCAGCCTGGGTAACAGAGCAAGACTCCATCTCAAAAAACAAACAAACAAACGAACAAAAAACCAAAAAAAGCAAAGGGGGGAGGGGGTTCCAGGAAAATGGTGGTAGAGTGTTTGAATTTCCCTGAATCCCCATGTAAAGACAGAATAACCAGATAGCAAAGCCATAAACCCAGTGGACAATACTAGGCGAGGAGATAGTCCCACGAACCCCTCATGATCTGCAGAATACAAATGGGTGGGGACAAGTCACTTGCGCCACAGTCCGGCACAGCATCAACTTGGGTGCAGTAGGATGTGGAGGGAAGCAAGGGGACAGCAGGTGGACCTGAGAAACAGCAGCGGGACACTCACTGGGAAGCACGGCGACCCTCCCGTGAAGCTGAAAGGCCGCCCCCTGCAGAAGCAGGTGATTGTGAGGCTTCTCAGTGGGTCCCGAAGAGGCTGGAGCACTCTCTACACCCACCCTCCCAGGCTACCGTCCCCGGGCAGGGACCCACACTGCAGAGAAACTGCTGGGAGTGGAAGGGGACTCACCAGGACAGGCAAAGAAAGCACAGGCAAGATCCAGATTCCCGTGGGGAAAGTGTAGAGCCCGAAATCCCAGAGGCCAGGTCCATGCTTTTGAACCTCAAAAGAAAACAACCCCAGCAGGGAGCTCTTGTGAGTAGAAAAGTTTTCCTCAGCCCCGCCTCCTTCCAGAAGTGCAGGAAAGTGAGTTTGGGCTGTAATGAAGAATCTGCGCTGCAATGGATTGAAATCCCCGGGTGGAGAGACAGGCAAAGCAGCAGGAGAGCATGGGCAGGGCTCAGAACGAGAGCAGGGGACATGAGCTGGGGCTGTGGAGAAGAAACCATGGCACAGGGACGGAGACATGGCATGGCCCGGGCCACGTGGGTTTCTATTCCTCGGTGAGCAGGTCTGTGCAGACCCCACCCCCAAACGCTGAGGGAGCCCAGAGGCTGAAGAAAGAGGCTGAAAAATTCAGTTTCTCTGAAATAATTAATTAATTTATTATTATTATTATTTTTTTTTAAGATACAGGATCTCCGTCTGTCCCCCAGGTTGGAGTGCAGTGGTGTAATCATTGCTAACTGCAGCCTCGACCTCCTGGGCTCAGGTGATGCTCCTGCCTCAGGTAGCTGAGTAGCTGGGACTACAGGCATATGCCACCAGACTCAGCTAATCTAAAATTTACATGTGCAGATGGCATCTGGCTATGTTGCTCAGGCTGGTCTTGAGCTCCCGGCTTTAAGCGATCCTCCCACCTGGGCCTCTCAAGGTGTTGAGAGTACAGGCGTGAGCCACTGCACCTGGCCAGAAATAATAGGAACTTAGGAACAGCAACAGGGACTTACGAACAGATAGTGGCTCCCCATCCCTGCCTTCCAGAAAGCCATCTTTATACGGCAAGTGTTTCAGGTAAAGACATGGGCGGCTGATCACACCTCAGACTTTCTTGCCAAAACTCGTTACCACTGGGGAGGTTAGATAAGCATCTTTGGGAGGGGTTATGAACGCCAAAGGCGCTGTTTAAAGACTTTCCTGCAGAACAGCTTGGTGCGCAGGAGTCCAGCATTGGGCATCATGGCAGTTTTGCTTCAAGATGGAATCACTCTTGCCAACAGACTG